CTTTCCAGTCGTCTTGTGTATTAAAATTGGCATGCAGTGTATGGAGGGTATTCTAGTCTTCAGAGGCACGTAACCAATGTGACAAGGGAGATGAAGAAAATATGAGTAAAACCATACTAGTTGTATAGAACTGGCTGCCTTCACTACTTACAATCAGTGGGTCCTTCATAATTTTCAGAAGGAACTTATCGTAGAGAACGTTATTGTGTATGGGCCATGAGGAAGTGACCTGGAGTATGGAGTACGGTTTCCTCAGTTCTGACCTTCTGCTGGTTGTGTATCTTCTGAGCTCAGCTGCCAGTCCGCTTTTTTGTGGTGCCACAACCGTGTTTTCTGTAATTTCAATATTGACCGCATTTGGCAAAATACCCTTTCTGATTTAGTGTGTTCATGCAACACCAGCTTAGGTTCTTTTGTTCTGAGTCTGCTTCAGAAGATGTGTGTGGTGGTGGGTGGTTAGGTTGTTTTTTGTTTCTTTCTTTTTATTAATGACTTTAACTGATCTATTGACAGACCTATGTTAAAAAAAGAAGGAAGCGTTGTTCCTGGTCCTGTATTCCTTTCCTCTCTTCACGCTTTTGCCTCCCCTTCCCCAGCACTCTGATAGTTGGCTGTGCACTGTCCAGGATATGCTTACTAAACTGGCAAAAGACTAGCCTGGCAAAAAAAGTGAAAACAAATTATTTTATTAATTTAGCAAGCTGAGTTAGCTTAGCTGAGTAGATTCGCGTGGGAAGAGGGTGGAGAGAGCGCTGTTCTGTCGTGGGTGAGTTGTAACTTACTACACCTGAAACTATGCTTTTTCATGCTGCTTCGTGTGCAGCAAGTTCTTGGAATCCTTGGAGGACTGTAGCCAAAGTTCTAGGCTGCTCTGGAGGCAGTGGAAGTTTACCAACATCTATTCTAGAAGTTAAATTGACAGCAGCCTCCCAAGCACTCTTTGCATATAGGTTAACTTCTTTCAAAAGACCACAGTGAATGCGTAGACTATTGAATAGTTTTCAATTCACGCGTGTGTGAATGTAAATAAAAACTTTGAAATTCTTTCCCTCACGGGCACTTTT